CCCTTCAACCCCCAATGCTACACCAATGTTGACAATATGTACCAAGACTATTTAACCGACTTGATAGACACTCACATCCCAAAAAGAACCAAATATCGTCAATCGCTACCACCTTGGATTACACCGAGTACATCACATCAGATGAAAATGCTCAACACGCAAAAGAGGTTACTCGAAAAACGACCAACTAGCTACCGAAAAAATAAGGTCCTCAAACTAGAAACCAAATCACTGAATTATGTGAACATGATCACATCTCATACCAAAAAAAAAGTTTTTGGTTCAAGAAATTGTGGTCAAAATTACAAGCACCTTAAGCATATCAATAGAGCTTCAAACATCCCGAAAACAATCAAGTTCAAAGACAAAATGACATCAATTCCAGAAGAAAAGGTAGAAATGTTTAACACATTTTTTCACTCAGTGTTTTCAGCTAAAGAGAACTACAACTTCCCTGACATAAAGTGCGAATCACCAACCCTAACAAACTTCAGCGTTTCAAACAAAACAATAAGTAACATTCTGGCAAATATTGACACTACAAAAACTCGTGGACCAAATGGTCTACCTCCCGGGTTTTACCAACGATGCGCCAAACAAATGAGTAATATACTCAATAAGCTTTTCAAGAATTTTAAACGCATACGCAAAATGCCAACGAGTTGGAAAACAGCGGCTGTAACACCCATTCACAAAAAGAACGACCCAAAAGATGTTGAAAACTATCGCCCAATCTCCCTTCTAAACATTGACAGCAAAATCTTTGAAAAATGCATGTACTCTCCACTCTACGAGCACTTTAAAGACCATTTTTCCATAAACCAACACGGTTTTGTGAAGAAACGCTCCGTTATGAGCAACATGCTCCAATTCCTAAATCGAGTCTACAAAGCCCTGGATAAAAATCCCCATGATGAGATCATTGCTTTTTATGCTGATTTCTTCAAGGCCTTCGATAAAGTCCCCCACAAATTATTACTACGAAAATTGAGTGATATTGGTGTATGTGGATGCCTACTCGAAATCATCTACGACTATCTCAGAAACCGAGGGCAAATTGTTCGGGTTGATTTCTACACATCCACCGTCCTCGAAATAACCAGCGGGATACCCCAAGGTTCACTCCTGGGCCCACTCCTTTTCTGTGTTTTTATAAATGATCTCGCTGAAGTCCTACGATTCAGTGACCCCTCAATAATTGCTGACGATCTAAAAATTCTATCTGTTGGACGCAAGCAAGATGAAATACAAGTTGACTTAAACAAAATCGAAGATTGGGTAAGACAAAACAACATGGAACTGGCATTCGAAAAATGCACTCAAATAAACTTCAGAGGTGTTGATATAAATCTATTTTCGAACGGAAATCGTGTACCTCAGCCAAAATCTGTAAAAGATCTGGGTATTCACATGTTAGGAGATCTTAGTTGGAGCACTCATCCAACCGAACGATTAAAGAAAGCAATTAAATTACTATACATTCTAAACGAAATGTAGCATATAACGTCAACACCTTTGTAAAATTAGGTCTCTACAAATCAATATTATTACCAGTCCTAACCTACGGCTGTCACTGTGCGAACTTTCTGAGAAAAGACCTACAAAAACTTGAATTTTTTCAAAAGAAAGTAGTAAAGTGGATATGTAGAAAACACTGCCAAAAATACACTGATCAACTTAGAATGCTCAACATTTTACCTCTGCCAATGTTCCTACAGACCAATGACTTCTTTTTGCTTTCAAAACTCTGCACTGACTACGAACACCACAGCATCCCACTTCCCACTGCTAACAATACCCTAGACCGACGATTAGAGCCCTTCAAATTACCCAAAACTCGAACAGAAAAACGCAGGGGAGAATTGTTTTTTGTACAACCAGAGTTGCAAATAGAAATGACCATTTAGTCAATTTCAGGATAGAACAGGGACTCAAACAGCGCATCACAACTCTTATGTGGAAATTCTACAGTGAAAATTATAGTACCCTTAACCTCTGCACTTGGCAGATATGCTGCGACTGCACAACGTGCAAAAATAACTGGACAATATTATAAACTCTGTGGAAGAAATTCCCACCAGTATTCTACTGGAAAGCCACAACAACAACAACAACAAAGACCACCAAAAGAACTGGCTTTGGCAGAGACGGTGAAAAGCATGTAGAGCTGTGTTTAGACGCTAGCCAGTCGTTTTAGAACCTAGCTTCATTTTCCGTCGATATGTACTTCCGGGCGAATGTTACATGGAGTATGGTTTTAAATGGAAAGGACATTGTACCGGCTGAAATTGAGGCTTAAGTTTTTAGTGCGTGCTGGGTATTACTACGATAGAAGGGTCCGTAAAATAGCAGGTCCCTCCCCGAAATAACGTCGATCTCGCAAACTGTCAAATTTTAAAGACATGTCAAACCATTCAAGAACATACCCCAATCTGCTGTTCCCGTTTCTTCAAAAATCAACAATCGCGAAAACTCCCCTTCACCATCTGAATGTGGAAACATAAATGTTTCAGCAATTTTGTCTTACAACAAGGATATCCGGTTGCTGTGAACCAGATTGTTCCGACAACATAAAGTGGCGTGATGGATGAGAGTTTTACAAAGGCGTAGAATGTAAATGATTTAGGCATATTCGAGAACAGTTGTCTTCTAAAATGAATAAAATTTTGTTGAATAAAAAAACATTGTTATAAAAGATTTTTTAAAAAAAGTTATAAGAAAATTTTCATCCCATGTAAACGCTAAATGAAGCTTTGAAAAGCAAATTTTTTCTTTAGCATAAATTGCAGTTCTATCTGTGCTATAATCGAGGAGGGTAGATTTTAATTGACAATTCTCTTGATGCATTAAAATTGACTCGATCTTTCTCCTGCTTAAAAATAGACGTAGCCTCAATTCCGAGGGTTATTTATGTTGAATTTGCGTGGAAAAATAAAAAAGTTAAGAAAATTAGCTTACACAAAAATAAAATTTATCCACGTTTCCAATGCTCGGAACAAAAAGTCCTTTACGATTCAATGATAATCCGTGGGGTAGAGACATCTCTCTCCCACACGGTTGGTCATGCACTGAGCAGGACCGGGGGCTAATAAAAAAATCAGGAATAATAATCAAACATGCTAAATCTGGCTTTTTGTAATTAAGAACAAAACCGGATCGCTGTACCCACTCGATCGCTTTTTTCGCTCGAAAAAGCTCAATGCTCGGAAAACTAAGTCATTATATTTCAGTTGTTTTCATCAAAGGAGATATTGCGGAATAAAAAATGTTTTTTAAGTACCATTTTTATCTCTCGGAAATATTTGAACCGATTAAAATTTAACGGAGGTTTTGAAGGATCTTGACCAAAAAATCTACAAAACATCGAAATGAAAAATGTAGACCTAAAAGTCAACAAAATGCGAAAAGAGTAAAACTGAGGTAGTGGAAAACCACAATTAACAGTTTAAAAATATGTCCTCTGCAGCACTGTATGGGGGGCGCTACCTGTAGTCCTCACGTGTATTCAGGACTGGCTTCTTCTGAGAAATGTGAAGAGCCTCTAGAGTTAATAATGTGGTGATGTCTTGACAGTTTTCAAGAATTGATACGGAATTGATACGGAATTTGTGTGCGGGTTGTATGAAAGTGTGAGAGTTAAAATATTGATAATTAGAAAAAAAAACCAAGTATCTGTCTGCAGGAAGTTACTGCAACTGCTTCTGACTGATGTAAAAAGCACCAACTATATACCGTCTTAAGCTGTATGCATGATTTTAATATCGAGTATTTCTTTTTAACTGTAGACAGTTAACAGATTAACAGTTTGAAATCTGATAGTTCAAAAAAAACGAAAGGAACACCTATCTGATCAAGAGCGTTCAGGACCCTAGATATGGGGCTATCTTTCAACGTTGAGAAATTTTACTTAATTTATGAAAGTCAATACTTATGCCCTAAGATTTTATAGGTGGAGGAAGTTCACTAGTTTTTGTTGGTTTGTTTTAGACAACCGAATCGACAGTATAATGTGCAGTGCTGAGCATATCATTTTAAATTAATCTTTATAAGCCTCACCCTAAAAAGAAAAAAAAAAACAAAATAATGCTTTGAACAGTTTTTGGTACTTGAGTTTCGATAATCAGGGGTAAGTGATTTCTACCGAACTTGCTTAGTTTTGGAGTGCTCTCCTAATGTATCTGTTCTCCAGTACAATCAAGGAACAACGTGTTGAAAAAACTAGCCCCGCTTTGAATGGGGTTGCAAAAAGGATTACATATCGATATCTTGCTCGGCAAGCAGATGTAGTTTTTTGAACTACGCGACACCATTATTGTCATCCAACCTCAGTGCTACTAACTGGAATAAGCAGCTAGTGAAACAAATTGACGCGCTGAGAACTGTCCTCTGTTGTGTACGAATGACAATTATACCTGCACATTGAAACAATTATACCTGCACGCAGCGAAATGCTCTCAAAACAGTTCTTACTTGGTAGCCAACTTCCTAGTCGAGCGGATCATGAAACAACAGTAATTAGCAGTACAAGAAAGCTTAAACCAGCAATACATACATAGTTTTATCGGGAATTCATCACTCACCTGCTCCCAGATACAGCGCAAACAAATTATACCTTTCATGTTTTTGAAAGCAAGGCAAACTCTTCCATCGAAATGCAAAAGAGTTAAGTTCACAAAAAATGACATCGACTTCCAGTTCCGAAGGTGTATTTTATTTTTCAGTTTTCCCAGTGCAATAATAGTTTTATCTGATGATCCAGTTTCTCAAATTGCTTTAGTGCTATAAAAAAATGTCAATCATGAAACATTCTTGAAATTCAAAGAGCTCTATAAATTTTTTCTCAAGTTCGAGAATTGAAGTAATTTTTTCTTTAAAATAATTCGGTCTTATTTCTGTTTCTCCGCGTTCCTTCACATTTTTGTCTGTATATATTTTGAAGATTCGGCTTGTTCTAACATTCCGAATATTCTTGTTAAGTTTCAATTAGTGCTTGTGATTGAGTATTAGGATTGTTTAGTTTAATTTTTTGAAGGTATTTAAACAATTAGATTGGTCTATTCAGTTGCCCTTCATCATAGTTATTACACTCCTAGTGCGAGAGCGTCTGGCTTGTAATCGGGAACTAGACTTAAAATATTAAGTAATATTTAGGAGCTAATGAACGCCCTCCCCCTTAAATTTTATAGGGTGAGGACGTTTACTTGATTCTAAGTGGGTATTATCAGCTATTCAAATCGAATTAGTAAAACGCATTGCTGAGCAGTATCAAATTTGATTGAACATTATGGCACATGATTTTAACTTGTTCTGTTCAGGATGTTAATTTGATCCAATGTTTACCTTATAATCTAAGCAAAATAGTCAGTTGCTGAACTAGTAGCACAGAATGTTCTTATCACAATTACTGCTGAGTATATTTTGAAATTTCAGTCCTCTCTCTGAAGGTTTCAATTGCATTTTATCTAATCTCTCTCGCATCTGCCCTAAAATATTACATCCAAATTTTCAGTTCGTTCTAGTCATGGCTGTCCAAGAAATCTCGATTGTAGGATCGGGGGCAATCGGTCAATCTCTGGGTATCATTTTTGCAGTTCATGGAATAAAAGTAACTTTCTTTGACGCTTTATTCGAGGCAGACTCCTCTAATATTTCAAAAGTTAAAAATGCTATAGTTGACAGGCTAAATGCATCTGAGTTTCCCAAAAACGCTGATAAGCTTTTTGAAAAAATTAGTTTTGCTCAATCCTTGAGTGAATGCGTGAAGAATGCAGACCTTGTTTACGAGTGTGTTTTCGAAAATCCTGAAATTAAGCAAAAAGTGATGCAGGATATCGACAAATATATTTCCACTGATACGATTATGGCATCATCAACCTCTTGCATTATGCCTAGTGTTCTCTCCGCTGGCCTGAAACATCAAGAGAATTTCATTGTCGCTCACCCAGTTAATCCGCCATTTTATTTGCAGTTAGTGGAAATTGTGCCGGCACCATGGACCAAAGACTATGCCGTTCAAAAAGTCAAAGAACTAATGCTTTTTGTTGGTCAGAAGCCAATTTGTCTCAAAAAAGAGGCCGATGGATTTGCCTTGAATAGAGTTCAGTATGCGGTTATAAACTCATCGTGGAATCTTGTCAAAGATGGTATCCTGGACCCTGAAGATGTGGACAGTGTTATGGTGTACGGTTTAGGACCGCGCTATGCTGCCATTGGACCTTTTCAAACAGCGCAAACTAATGCTCCTGGAGGTTTTAAGGACTATATGCAAAGATACGAAGCAGGAATGCTCCGGGTGTCAAAAGACGCTGGCTTTGAAATTGAGTATGACAAAAAATCTTTCGAAGAAATAAGTTCGTACCTGGAACACAAAATGCCTGTAGCAAACATGGCAGAAAGCATTCAGAAGAGGGATTCGGTGCTGAAACAGATTAAGAAAATGAAGCAAGAATAATAAACTACGCTAGCCTCCGAAATATCCGCATCCAATTTGCAGAGGATCAATTTCTGTTTGTAAATAAATTTAAAAAATCAGCTACATATTTGCAATAAACATTTTTTTTTAAATTCTTCTTGAAATGGAAAATTGTTTTCATTATTTTAATATCTGGATTCTTTATTATTTGTAAAACTTAGATTAATTGCTGTGATTATTTTGTACACATTTTTATATCTGAGATGACATCGCTCTGATTTGCCCTCGTGTTGAAATTTGGAGTGAATAACGAAATAAAACCGCGAGCATCCTTTTCAGTTTAGGCATTTGGCATAAGGTTTGGACATTGCGAAACGGAAACGTAAATTATGAATTAACAACCGTTTATCTTCATGCGTATTCAGTTTGAGCTATGTAACAGCATGATTAACTATCTGTAGGCGTCAAGTTAACAGTCTGATTCAGGATAGCTAGGTTTAGCATATAGGTTTGGGCGTTACGTCTAGCCCACGGATCATCAACGCGCAAGGTTTATCTAAAGCTTTGAAAAAATAATCCTTAACGCTTGCTTATGATTAACTTTTTGCCTCATATAAATTGTCAAAAAATTGTGCAATTTTCAATTTGGTTGCAGTTTTCTTTCGGATCTGGGTCATTTTTTAGGTTTTTAATTATTAAATATGAACCTAATTGTTCATTAATCATAGTAATAAAAATCTTCATAACGAAAGGTACAATTTGCAATAGTAGCTCATGAAAGGTAAGTCAGAAAACCAACAAAGGCTTTTTGAAGACTGACCATTATGATAGCCAGCTTAAATTGATTAGTTAAACAAGAGTAGCTGGAGGCTGTGCAAGTATAACAAAAAAGTTCTGACCACATTCATAAAATAAACTAAAAAGCGGTTTTTTTAGATTTGTGCCGTTATTTTTTGGGCGTAATGTGATGAGAGGAAAGACGAAAGTGTAGAAGAAGATGATAAGCAACAGCTACATATTGCATCAAGAAACTTTGTGAAAAAATCGACACCTGCAGTATCGAAATATGAAAAAATTTTGAGATGCAATATGAGTTGTTGATTATCCGGTATCAAGCACATGTGAAAAAAATCAAACAAAACACACTATTTTGAAAAAAATTTCACGTTACCACGTGATGTTATCTTTCTAATTTGTTTTGGTTGATTGCTCCAGGAAAGATATCGGAAGATAATATTCAACTAAGTGTTTCAACTAAAGCACTAGTTTTTCAAATATGGCACCGGAACTTACTAAAGGCGTGTGTTTTATCGCTTGTTATTAAACATAATTGACCACAGTTGTTTCCGAAACATCAATAACGACAAAGTCTAAAAAAGGTCATGTTTTTTTTTGCCAACGAAGCGCTAGATTCGAGTGTTGGAGTAAAACCAAATGTCACTGTTTGAGTACAATTTTTTCTATTATAAAACCTAATCGCTTGCTTCACTCGCTCAAAATTAGGTTAAAAAGAAAAGTCAAATCGACGGCACAGTTTTTCATTGAAGTTCTCTAAATATTAGTCAATCACGGCTGAAATGGCGTGAATGCGATATACTACTTGACCCACCCTGATAAGTGTTTGTGGCTCCTGAAAAAAAAGTAACGAAGAAAGAAAACACTTTCTAATTGACTTTTCTCAAGAACAAGAAAGATCACGTTATAAAAATTAGGTAATTGCTTTTTAGCATTTTTTCTCAATTTAATCTAGTGAGTGGGAGCGGTTACGCAACCACATGCCTGTCGTAATATAAAAATTGATACAAAAGGATAGTATGTTACTTATAATGAGAGAATGAAGTTTCTTATGTCTAAACTAAGAACATTGAGACCTCGGTAGATTGAATCTAATTGTCTAGTTCATTATTTACCCTTGCAATAAACAATGGTATTGCAATTGGGTACTAGACTTTTTCCCGTAACTAACTTTGTTCACAGATTTCAACATACATGCAAGACACGACATGAATGCAGTATCTACTTGCTGTTTGAGCCCATGAGTTTGTCACTCACACTGTGCATCGTTATTAGTGTTTTTCCTGTAAATTCGCAGTTTAAAAATTTCTAATGATTTTTCTTGGTATTTTTCGATTTTTCGACTTCGTCCTTTTCGGTTTTTATGTCGTCTTAGTTTCCGCTTTGCTTTTCAAGCCAACTACATCACTTATATGAATGTCATATACGGAGGTTAATGCTTCTGTTTATTTTTTTTTGTTTGAGACCTATCTTTTGAACTTCGGCTTTTTATTTGTATCAACAATTGAACTTGGCAGAGATAAGTATTTCAATTTTGACTTCTTTGTCACGTAAGTTTTTTTACCCAAAAACTTTTCAATGCTGCTTTACGTGGGCTGGTACAAGGATCGATAACCAAAGGAGCTGAACACAAGTAAGATCTTCCCTTGCCTGGTTTTTTGGTAATATTGGCATTAAAATTTCCCGAGGTTGCATACCCCTCGGTTAAGATCTTCTCTTTTTAAAGTTTTTGAAGGCTGCCTATATTTTACAGAAAAGTCGTTGTTTTTTTTTATTTAATAGCTGAAATCTCTTTCAAAATTCCTCCTGTTGACACATCTTTTTTCTTTGGATTTGAAACCCTTCTCCTCTTCGAAGTTGACCAAATCGAAGTCAAAATGGTATTGTAAGATTTTGAGAGTGTGATTCAGTTAAGCGGCCTGGTTAAGGAACGTAACGGTATTTTGCACCTGTACTTATATATCATGTGCAGGCTCATTTCTGTGCTCATTTTCATATTCAATGACTTTTTTTGGCCTTATCCAGGAATTTATGGAGCCACTCGTTTAAAATTTGACATGTAGCCTTTTTGTTGTTTCTTCGCGCAGCTAAAATACTCAGCTGGCCATTTTCTTGAAATTATGCGCTTATACCGAAGCGAGCAGCGTTTTCAATCATACAAGCCTTTATTTCTGATTCCCAATATGAAAAATTAACTCGTTCTTTGTACTTTTGAAGTTGTTCAGGGTGTTTTTTTTCCCCAAGTTAAGTTGCATATACAAAAATCCAATTACTATTTAACTTTTGGTCATTTTGATGTTTTTTCTTCATTTATATTTCAAATTTTTCAACTAGATATTTTTAACGGAAGTTTTATAGCTCCGAATGAAATCAATACGCCCAACTCGAATTTAGAAAGATATTGCATATGCTGTGATTTTTTCCTGAAAATATGGGATTTAAAGTTAGCCTAATTTGGAAAAGGTGAAGCGCAATATTTTCAGTTCTAATAACGCTGAAGCGGCGATTTAATCCAGTTAAAAGCATTCCAAATGAATGAAGGCAAGCTATTTGGTCTGATTAATACTATACGAGAAACAAATCGTTTTTTACTCAATATAGCCTGTTAATCTTCAGCAAAATCTGGAAATTGTTCAATTTTTTCGTGGATTTTTTATCCAATTACTTTAAAGTGATCCGTGAAAACACACGATATCCAGTTGTCTACTTTGTAAAAAAAATGTATAACTTTGATTTTCATTTTTTGAAATTATAGGGTAGCAATGTCTGAGAGAAACTATGGAAAACGACCTTCAAATTTTGGTGCCCCAAATGGAGGCTACGGCGGAAGAGGTGGTCCTAAACAGTTTCGTCCTGCCTACAACAACCACAATCATAATTATCCTCAAGTTGATGTCTTTTCCAATGACGTCCCTTTAGGCCCCGGAAGGCACTCGGCCAATTCGAATCCTCCTGCTGATTATCCAGGTTTGTTTATTTACCAAAGTCGACTTAAAAACTCCGGTCTCAAGATGGGAAGGGTCCCAGTGTCATCCGCCTATTAAGCTTAGACCGGATACGGCAAAATGGATGATATGTCCCCTCCCCCCACGGTTGGTGTTGCTTTGATTGGGACAGGGGGCTAAAAAACTGAAAACATTTTACTGGAATTTTCTTAGGTTCTGTTGATTTTTAATTTAAGGCTCAAACATTTCATTGCAATTATGAGTTTTGAACCTCAACTATTTGAAAAGAGCTGTGACCTTGGGTTTAATTTATTTGCACATGTTTTTCGTGCCATCTTTTCTATGCCCTATAGACAGTAAGGAATTTGATCCTATGTCATGAATTTGGCTACCTTTATGCCAAAAAGGTCAATACTTTGGTATTGTTTACGACATTCATTTTTGGTTTATGATCTCAAAAGTAGTCGAGTAATTCATTGCGCTCCTTTTTTCCTCTTTTTTTTAACAGGGTCTGCGAACTAAATTTGAAGCTTAATTCAAATCCAATTAAATGCCCAATAACTAGTGATATCGGAAAAACGAGTGATATCGGACAAGTTTTCTATCTAGTAGAGAACTCCCCCCTTTCGTAACAGGGGGAGGGGGAATAGTTGAAGAGATCCCTGAATTATAATCGATTTTCTGTTCTAGGGTTTGGAGCAGGTCACGGATATCAAGGTCCTCCCGCTGGACCTGCTCCTCCGATGCCACGTGCTCCCTTCCAGGCTGTGGCGAAATCGGTCATACCGTGCGAGTACTGCGATGCTCATTTTATCAGTCCAGAAATGCTAACAATTCATCTTCAAGATATCCATCGAATCACTAGGAATGTACAATACCCAACATCCGCCCATTATATCCCAAATTCAGCTTCCCAGCCCAACCCTAATGTATTGCCTCTGCCACCTAGAGAATTCGATCAACGGGATCCAAAACGTCGAAGTCCTGTGACTAAAAATAGTTTTGTGCCGAGAGCCAATAATACCGCGTCTAACGCAATAATTCACGATGTTAGTCGAAATCCAATGCAGCAGTTTACCTCTTTCGTTGACGGAACTGATAAGAACAATCCGAAGCCAAAAAAGGAAAAGAATTATGACTGTACAGAATGTGGAAAGAGATTCACATCTGCTGGGGGGGTTGAGCAGCATAGAATGGTTAACCACCCTACAGTTGAAGATACGCTTCCAACCAGATGCGAAGTATGCGCGAAGGTCTTCAAAACTTACGTGCAGTATTACCAGCATAGAATCAATGCGCATGAGTTTAACGGCGTTGCGAATGGAATTCTAAACCCGACTAATAACTCGGGTAACAAGGAAGGGAAATTTGTGCACCCTAAAAAAGGTCACCCTGATTCAGATATGGGGTATTTGTGTCAAAGATGTAACAAGATGTTCCAAAAATATCTAAGCTATGTCGCCCATGCGAGGACAAAACACAACGAGTTGAAGAACGTGCACGTGTGTAAAGATTGCGACACGCCATTCTGGGCTAAATTGGACCTAGGTACAAGTATAATTATTGTATCCCTAGAAAGTACGCTAGGTTCAGTAGTGACAAAACAACTAAATTTGTTTACAGGATATTATTTGAAAGGTTTCTTATCTAACGAAAGAAAAAAATGTTTTTCTGCGATCTGAATAATTAAAAATAGTTATCATAAGTACTTAACATAAATAGTTATCATTCAATTAACAATTGATAGTTTTGGAAAGAAAGTTTTTTTTTCAGTTTTTATCAAGCTGAATTTGTCATTTGATCATTTAGGCTGACAGTCGGCTTAATGTCGAACACAATTTCATTAGTTATAAACATAGCTGTTGGCGAGTCAGATAAACAGTAGTTTTTGGGACTTGATGATCATACATGTAACTGAATTTAGATCGACATCATTGCGTGTATCCAGATGACACTGAAATATACCAATGCCCAGACTGCAGTGTGAAATTGACATCTCAAGAAAAGTACGAAAAACACTGGCATTTTACCCACAACAAGCATAATTTATTCAATTGCGATATATGCCGCAAGCCGTTTTTGGAGCACGCCTCCTATAAGCAACACATGGAAGCGCATAAGCCAGGCGATAATGAAAAATTCACACTGTTATGTAATTTCTGCGATCAAAAGTTCGAGAAAGTTTCGCATGCTGAGAATCATACGAGGCAATATCACAGTAGCGCCGGTGCGTTTATAGAGAAAGTTTGCAGTAAGTGTTTCAATGATTACACCGCGAATTCGACGGATGTTTTGGGAGTCTGTGAAAGGTGCGTAAAAGAATCAGTTGATGAACAATTTAGCCCACATGAAAAGGGTCAACAACAACAACAACAGCAACCAGAAGAGCTATACCAGCATCAACAGTATCATGATCAGTCGTTTACAGATGATGTGCCGACTAATTTCTGAAGTGTTTATAAAATGTTACGAAGTTTTGTTCATCCTAAAACTGAAAATAATATCATGATGCAGTGCTCAGATAGTATAAATTGTTCAGATAAGGCTTAAGTAATAAAAAAAATTGAAAGAAATTTTTTATGGATTTTAACGAACATTATAATTAAGCGTTTTGCATATGGGATCCTATTTTCACTTTGTAACTTGTGATGCGAAATTTCGGCGAAAAAAATTGTAATTTTGCCTACTTTCGTTTACACATCTGAGCACACTTGGTCGCGCAAATTGTTCCGTAAATTGCATGAATAATTTATAATTTACGTTAAATATGACACATCTGCTGGCTTCTATCAAAGTGATTTTTTGATTAGTAATAACGAATTCCACATTCTTTTAGTGACTTTGATGTAATGGAGTTTATTGACAAAGTTTGCTACTAACTTTAATAAGCTCATAGGCTCAAAAATGATTCAGAGTATTGAGTGGTATACTTTTTTGGAACTAGCAGAAGCCTTTGGCTTGCTTCGCTCGCCTAAATTCGTATAAATAAACAAAAATAGATAAGATTCGGACCACAGAGTCCCATATAGACTAGGCAACAGTTTTGAGCCCATTTTAAGCTTGGTTTTTTTGCTTAGCCTTACGTCTGATTAAGTTTTGATTAGCTTATAATTTTAGCTGATTACTGATAATTTCGAAGTCCGATTTCGAATCGTTTCGCAGTGCGCTCAAAGTGCACAACTGAGTTATGACTAAAGTCGAAATGCTCGAGAGCGCAATTCAAAAATTATAAAGAATATGTTATCTAAGGTGCAAGTACTTGTACTAATAAGACCTTTCGAACGTTTTCTTGAAACATTTTTTCGGTATTTGAGGATACAAACTTTGAGCACAGCCTTAACTTTTCTTCTTTTAGACCGCCTTTCAATAACTTCACAATTTTTGCTGATCTTGGTTTTCGGTCATTATCAGTGATTTACTGAACACTGCTCGCCAAAGCATATTATCATCAGATAGCTTATCACAATCTTCAGTCTTCAACTCGTTTTCATATGAGTCGGACATCTCCACTGACGGACAATTTTTTGAGGTATTTGAATTTTTTGGCTACTGCAGCATATACGTTTTTTGTAGGATTTAAGCAGTCATCCAATTGAATCAAAATATACTATATCATCCATTAATAAGAGCAGAGTAGGCTTTTCTTTAACAATACTGGTCAACATACGAAAAGTTAAAACGGAAACTTGACAAACTCGTTTTTTATAACTAAGGTCAAAGTTATGAAATATTCAATGTTTCCTTGTTCCAATCTCATTTCTTGTCGGCTCTCTGATTCCAGTTTCTTGTGTTGCTGGTTGCAGAGCGCTCGAAAGATCACCAACTTCTAGATTGCCCGAGGCAATATAACTCATTGAGTATGGTTCAAGTGGTTATAAACAATTGAGTTTAGCGCTCATTCTGAATTTAATTCGATTGTTGATAAATGTTATATTTGATCTTTTCTTGAAAAAATGTTAAAAAATCGAAAAAAAGATTAGCAATAAAACAAAATTTAAGCCTCATCTACCCAGTAGCGTCGAATGTGTATCTGCTGCTAACTGCTTTCAACTTTTGATTATACAGATTGTAAATTGATGACAGGGCGAAATTAAATCGGCGAAATAAAATGAGAACTTTCCGTGTTTGAGAAAAAGAAAACTACAACCCATGATTTGTGCACTTACTCTTTGGCCTTCATCACTAACCGCTTTTAGTAATTTATCAAGTTTTCAAATCTTAAGCAATTTTTTCACATGTTTAATCTGCAGGAATTAGTTCTCATAGCTGAAAACGGCCCGGGCTGACAAAAATGCTTATCAAGCTATTTCATAGTATGAAAAAATGCTTATCATACTATTTCATAGACCAAAAAAACTCTATGAGAATAGCATGATAAGCCTTTTTTCCTTACTAGGAAGTATTATGATAGGCATTTCGTACATGGTCTGGAATTAAAAAATAATTAGACTGGTGGATCAGTAGTTTTTGAGCGAAAAGCTTTTGTCGATCAAACTGATATTCGTAACTCGTCAAATGTTGGTAAGGCAATAGTTATAACAGGTACTAGCCAATAATATCCATACTCAATGTGTCAGAAGAAATTAGCATCAATACCATTTTTTAATCAATAAAATTGTATGATAAGCATTTTTTCATGCTATGAAATTGTATGATAAGCATATTTTTCATACTATGGAATTGTATGAAAAGCATTTTTTTCATAATATGAAATTGTATGATAAGCATTTTTTCATACTAAGAAGCTGAATGATAATCATTTTTTTTTCATACTATGAAATTGTATGACGAGCCTTTTTTTCATACTATGAAACTGTATGATAATCAATTTTTCACACTATGAAATTGTATGACAAGCATTTTTTCATACTATGAAATTGTATAATAAGCATTTTTTCCTTACTATGAAATTGTATGATAGGCATTCCTTTCCACTCTATGACATTGTATGAATAGGATCTGTTTGTAAATTTATGAAACAGGATGGAAAGCTTTTCTTGCATAATTGAAAAATGATTTACTACTATGTCAATTTTCCAAAACTAAATTGAGGCAACTGAATCTAAGAGCCACCCATAAAGCATGCTATTTCTGAACAATGGAGACACCGAGAAAAAATTAGGGGCTTGGAACCTCGACTGCCTTTTCCACCAATTCTCCGCAAGTTTCAGACAGCTGAAAGAAATACAACAAAACTTGAGATGAAAGTCACTGCCAGATGAGATCAACACTGAATCAGCTGTCGAGACCAATATCCAGTCGTATTCAGCCTCTGCATTCTATAAAGAACTATTTCAGAACATCTATCCTTAAAAACAACTCATATATTGTAACTTCTTCCCACATCACAAAAATCATCATTTGAGACCGCGATAGGAGTCATATATTAGACAATACTGGCAAAACTCAACCAAGGTATGGAGCACAGGAACACAATACTGCGCAGATTTACAAGGTAAAATCTGTGCCTTAATATGTTTCTGAGCGCCATCAGTTGAAAACGAAAATATTTTCATAGTCCGTCACAATTTAGTTTAAATGAGATGTGCGCTGTTAATAGAATAGAAGTTTTTAAAATTTTGAAAAACACGCTCACCGTTTCAAAAATTAACATTCTAGTGTCTAAAGGTTTCCATTAGCAGTGATTTGGAACGAGATCTTTCAACAAGAAGTTTCAAAAAGATCATAAGGTTATTCATTATTACACATTTTGATTAGCTAAATACTCAGTGCTTCTTACTTGAAGCGATGACCGCTTCCATAGATGACAATTTTCGGGGAAAACTTCGTCAACACTGACAATCCTTTTGTTTGGCACCCTTTAATTGTATATGTTCTGACAATGACTTTCGATTCAATCTTTTTCTGCAATACTTTTTCCAAAAACTTTCATTATCATTCGCTGCTCAATGTTCCAAGATGATAAGAAGCAACAATTTTCTCCAATTATTTCAACACATCGTTCTATTTCAGACTCTTGCATCGGTCGTCATTCTATCAAACGCAAAAGTTCCTGGCCAGCGGGGTCTACCGTTCCAACACAGTTTTTCAAGTGGAGTTTTTATGTGAACAAAAACGAAGAAGCCTACAATATGTAATACCCAGTAAGGTTGGGTAATTGACAGGAATCACCGTTCGCAATTACAGCAACACCACCGAACTTCTCATCGCGGCCTTTCAATCTCCGATGAAAAATGTCCATCGTGTTCCACTTTTCTGCACTTATCAGAGTTTTTTCCGATAAATGAAACCTGCAAGCGCTCTAGCAAAGTCTTTCTCTGATTGTCTCTGTTAAGTTTCAATAATGCTCGATTAGCTGATGACGTTGAATCAAGTTTGTTTACGCCTAATTTGAACAATTTATGCAAATGTTCACCATTCAGTTCATCTGCACGTCGTGACGCAAGAGATGTTTAAAAAAATGAATCCGATGCAAAGGGTGTACGCTAGGATCAAACCACTCACTAATGTTTTACCTGTTCCGGGTCGTCCCAAAGAAAAAATATGGATGCTTAAATCTAATATTGTATAACTAAGTATCTTTGCAAACTCTTTACAAATTGCTTGCGTTCTTTCGCAATTTCGAGATACAGTATCAATTTTAACACTTCTTTAACATAAGTATGAATAGAAAAGGACTTACAATTAACAGAGTTAACAAAAAGTTGTACTTAAAATAATTCGATGTTTGTTGTATGCCACTGTCTGTTGACTGAACTTCTGTCGCAAGAACTTGAAGACACGTCGCAGAACAATCTTTTGCTCACGGAAAGAACACATCATTTGGCCAGGACCAGATTGGAAATCAGGGAACCAGTAGTTAGAAACTGACTTTAAGTCTTGCGGCAAATTTGGGAAGTTCAATTGACGAACTCTTTGGAACAATCTCAGTTGGCTTGGAGCACAAAAATCCTCAACAGATAGCATACTTGTACTGCATGGACTGAATAAGAACTAAAGGTGGTTCAACATAATCATTACTCGATGTGATGTTTTGCAGCGCACAGAAAGCTTCTTTTGCTGGAAGGATTTTACTCGAAAAAGTCAACGCCTCCTGCTTGGAAACGGAGGTCTTTCATTATAATTTTTTCAAAAATTTAAGCATGTCATCTTCACAATAAGTATCCTTTTCGCCGAAAAAATCTGAATATACGAAGCTATCGATGTGACGAGAAGAAGAAAAAAAATCTAGCTCAGTATGAAATCACCGAAATATGAGACGGCAAGATTTCGAACGTTATCAAGATGGAAATGTTCACTTCGAGGTGCGAGTAAAAATTCTCGGATGATGTTGATTCCTAAAGGCCGAATATAAACAAAATGGCTAATGCAATCTACCCACGGATATAATTTTTCTTTTCCGCCGTAGCAAACATTTTCCGGTTTTGGTTTCTCCCGTTCAAAACATTTAAAATAAATTTCAATATTAGATATTACAAGTAATTCTGGCGGACGCAATCTAAAACCTGTCCTATTGTCGATGCTCTCATTTGTATTTCAAAGGTCAGTCTTGAATTGTTTTTGATTATAAGTGATTTGC